TTTTTTTTTTTAATATACTAAAATTTGTTTATATAGAACACAAATGTATTTATCTCCAAGGTGGGTTTTTTAATGGGTCAAATAAATGCAAAACATATTAAAGAAATCTATCATATTTCTTAGCATTTCTTTTATAATTTTGACAAGTTTATACTTTTCAATGGCTTCAAGATAAATTAGAAGCAGCAGCTATTTCCTAGTGAAAGTCAAATAAATGAGGCTTATTATTTTTCTACCACTTAACCAAATACACATACACTAATACACCAAATACACAAAGAAAATGGAGACATCAATGGTACCTCTCAGGCAGCTCCAAATGAGATAAGTTCTCTCACAGAACTAAGATTTTATAATTTTGCATCACGTTTTACTGTAGTCCCTTGAGTCTTGAGTTGCTTTTAGAACCTTCCCCTTATTGCTGTTGAATGCATATCTCTGTAAAATCCCTGCCTAAGAGTCACTGGCCTTGGCAATAACGTATGACTCCAAAGTAATGTCTTAAATGAGGTGTTTAGAAACGTTAGCCTTAAAATGAATGAAGAAGTGCAGGAGTCCCTTGGGAGGTGACCTGCCTCTTCTGGAGCCCTTATTTTTAAGCTGAGGTGTATCATCACCGAAATGGGGGAATAAAAAAAGTCCACCTCTCTTATTGATATGTGTCTGGTATCCAGGGAGGAAAGGTACCACAATTGTGCCTTAAGTAATTTAGCCTCCAACTAATAAAAATAAATGAAAAAAAAATAAAAATAAAAAATAAAAAAATCTGTTTTTATACTGAAATTTGAGATGTTTCTATTGACATATATTCAGATTCATGGATTCTTTCTCCTGTGAAAAGTGTTCTTCATTTCTGTTTCAGTGCTTTGTTTTCTAACACTTTCTTTTGATTCTTAGAGTTTTTTTTATTTCTCTGCATATGTTACACATCTGTTCTTGCATGTTGTCTAATTTCTCCAGTAAACCTCTTGGCATATTAATTGTAAGTATTTTAAGTTCCCACTCCGATAATTCCAAAACCTCTACCAATTTCAAGTCTGTTTCTGATGCTTGCTCTATTTCTTCAGACTGCTCACATTTCAGCATTTTTTTACAAGCCAGGCATAACGTATCAGATAATAGGAACTGAGATAAGCAAGTCTTTAGTGTGAGCTTTTATGTTAAAATGGCCACGAGTTAAGCAGTGTTTAATATTTGCTGAGCAGAGGTTTCACTTTCCTTTAATGCCATTTGTTTTGTCTGCTCTTTTGTCTTTGGGTTTTCTTAGAAACTCCTTCCTGAACTGTATCTGTGTCCTGCAGCTCTCAGTTATAATCCACTGCTGTAACTGGAAAGTAAGGAATTGGGAAGAGGATACAGTCTATAATCTTATGATTAAAATCTCCATTTTTAGCCACCTGGAATCCCTGGGCTATGAATAGTTGTTCAACTTTCTTGTGATGATAGGCATGACAACCTGCAAAATCTTCAAATATACCAGTGGGAACCAGCAGTTCTTTTTCTCCTCACGTGTGACAGGCTTGAAGGAGCAGAAGTTCTCTAATTATTCTCCCTCGAGATCAGATAGAGCTCTGATACAGAAATGACCCTTGAGGACTAGCTTTGTTTCAACTTCCCAAGT